TGTAATCTTCTAGGGTATAAATAAGATCTATAAATAATTTTGTAATGAATCATCTGGTGATTGGGATTCCTTGATGGAAGCAAAATGTTGCACCAAATCTGGTTCCAATCCCACTCCAGATGATCCCTCAATTCAATTTTCCAAAGCTGCTCGACAGGTAGAATTTTTTGTGTGCACTTAACAATTAGTTTATATAATTCAGAGATCGTACCAGAGCTTTCTGCTTTGTTCAAAATAGAATGAAGAGGGTGATTTTTGAGCATGCATCCCCAAGGAAAACCATGGGACCACAATGTGCACAGCTGAAGGTAAAAGAAGAACGAAGTACCTGGTAGATTAAAGCATTTTTGTAAATCATGGAACTCTCTTAATCCTTTCTGGCCTATGATATTACTGAAGTTAGTAACCCCTTTGTGCTCCCATGGTGTAAAAGAGATGGTTTCTTGTCAATTAGCAGAGAATAATTATGGAAGATTGGTCACCTATCCCCATAAAACTGTTGACTTTGTCCCATACTGATATAAGATGTGTAACAATGGATCCATAATGGCCTTTAAGGGTTTTGTGTGGCAATTTAGAGTATAAGAGAGTGGGCATACTGTAAGGTTTAATTATCTGCTCTTCAGTTGGTATCCATGCTGCAGATTTCCCAGATTTGAAACATACTGCTAAAGATCTTAATGCAAAACACCATGAGAACCATTCAAAGTTAGGGAGGCCCACTCCTCCTGAAGATTTTAAACTATGTAGAGTTGTGGCCTTAATTTGGGGCTTCCTTTTATTCCATAAGAATGTGTTTATGACAGAATGTCATTTCTTAAAGTAACCTCGCGGTGGTGCTAAAGGTAGCATAGAGCTCCAAAAATTAATGCGGGGCAATAGATTCATTTTGATTACTGACAAACGAGCCTGAAATGACATTGGAAGAGAGGTCCATCTTTTAAGATCTCCATCTATGGTCTGCAACAAGTTTTTATAATTGTTTTCAATCAGGGAGTTGAGAGAGGAATGAATATAAACCCCTCAATATTTGATGCTTTGTAATACTCATATACTATAAGAGGGTTCATCTAATGTTGTTGATCCCAGAGGCATCAAAGCAGATTTAGTCCAATTCACCCTGTAACCAGAGACATTTCCAAACAGTTCAAATATATTAAGAAGATATGGTGTTGATTCTGATGGGTTATTAGTGTATATTAAAATATCATCCACATACAGGGAGATATAATGGGCTGTATCATGGATTGTGATCGGCGCCATTTTTCCTGATTGTCTTACTAATTGCGCGATAGGTTCCAAAGATAAACAAACATAAAAGTGGTGATGGGGGGGCAGCCCTGACGTGAAGAACGAGACACAGTGAACCTGGATGAACACACATTAGCCGTTAACACAAGTGCAGTGGGATTAGCATATAAGGTTCTAATCATATTAATAAAACCAGACGGAAAATCCATATGCTGCAGCACATCCCACAGATAACCCCATTCCAACCGGACAAATGCCTTCTCACCATCAACTGATAGAATGGCATTTAGATTTGTAGACTGACAGGATGATTCTATGATATGGAGAAGGCGTCGGAGGTTATCAGAGGCTAATCTAGATTTGATGAAGCCTGTTTGATCATAGTGGATTCATTGAGGCTTATGTTGTTCTAGTCGACTAGCAAGTATCTTTGCAAAGGCTTTGAGCTCTGTGTTGAGAAGACTGAGGGGCCGGTAGGAGGAGCAGTCTGTCGGTGGCTTATCTTTATTGAGTAACAGAGAGATAATCGCCACATTGGCGCTGTCATTGAAAGATCCTTTGATTATTGAATAGTTGATCATGTCCAAGAGTAAAAGGGTCAAGCTGAGGCCAAAAAGCAACATACAGTTCTGGTGGAACACCATCTAACCCAGGCCATTTACCCTTATTTGTTATGGTTTGGCAAGAGGGACCCCAAAGCAGAGCCAGGACTCAGTCACGTTTTAACAGTTTATTTTACAAACGGAAGGCAGGCTGAGGAGGCAGGGAGCTGGCCGGCTTCTCCAGAGGCAACAGCAGACGACCACGGAGAAACTTGGGCAAAAACAGGAGCAGGTGAGTCCAAAACAGACAACAAGCAAAACAGGTAAATATCCAAGAGCCTGAGAGACGCTACCGAACAGGACGGAATTATCTGGCAAAGTGGTGGTGAGAAAACCAGGGCTAAATACAGAGGCTGATGAAGGAATTGATGCAGGTGTGTCTCATCTACTCTGGAAGAAGCCACGCCCCCTGAAGAAGCCACGCCCCCTGCCACACTCAAACTCTGCAACAAAAAGTGGAGGGGGAGAGAACAAAAAAACAAATCCTAAAACATATTCATAGAATGAATGGCTTCACTTAGTTCATTTAATGTTACAGGTATTTCTAAAGCCTTGGCAGATTCAGGAGGCAGTTTAGATAAATTAAGTGATCTTAAAATCACTACAGGCTTTTTTGTTATGTCACTTCAGATGTGTATAGTTTCTTGTAGTAATTCCTAAATGTACTATTATTTTTTTCAGGATCTGAGGTGACAGTGCCTCCTTCAGTGACTATAGCAGATATATTTACCAGTTGTTCATTGTTACGGATTTTATAGGCTAAAAGGCGGCTTGGTCTGGCACTATTTAAGTCATGTTTCTGCCGCACCCGAAATTCAACTTTCTGCCTTAATATTTCATTTAGTTGTTGAATTTTATCTTGCCGAGTTTTAGTGTTTTCAGGTGTCACATTAGTCATCATTTCTCTTTCTATAGCAGCTCTTTCTGTTTCCAGGTTGTCAATTTTAAGCTTATTTGCTCTGTTTAGTTGTGAGGAAAAGCTTATTGTAATATTCCGTATGCACCCTTTAACTGCTTCCCATAGTATTCTTGGGTCATCTACAGAGTCTCGGTTCACTCCAATAAAGAAATCTAATTCCTCTGAAAGGGTTTTCATATATTTAACATTGTATAACAAAGAAACACCTGGGAGACCTTGATTGGCTGGATTTTGGTATAAATGAGCAAGATATTGTTTTGTGATCTCATAAAGCGCATGGAGTCATTTCAGTGCTGCAAATGGTTTGGAATAAGGGCTTTGAAATAAATATATAATCTATTCTGGAGAAAGATTTGTGGCGTGCAGAATAAAAAGAAAATTCTCTGGCATCAGGATTCATAAGTCGCCAAGCATCACATAAGCCATCATCTTTAACTAACTTTTGAAGTTCACGTGAAGCCATTTTGTGGTCACTGCTCTGCCTCTGCCCTGATCTGTCCTCGTGGTGGAGCCACACAGCATTGAAGTCCCCTCCAATTAAAAGGTGATCATCAGGCAGGTCTAGCAAAATAGAGTTCAAGGAATCATAAAATTGGTAGTTGAAAACATTTGGAGCATAAACACACACTAGAGCAATTTTCAGACCATTATACAAAATTTAGCAAAATGCGATGTGGCCATTTTTACTACCTCCTCTGCCCAGGTTGATATACGATAAATTCCTTCTAATTGCAATGAGGACACCTCTATTCTTTTTGGAATGGCAGGAAGCAGCTGCAACTTTAAAATATTTGTTCTGAAATTTGTGTGTGTCTGCTTCCAAATGATGTGTTTCTTGTATGAATGCAAAATGTGTATTTTTCCTTTGCAATAAGTCTAATATGCTTTGGCGCTTTGGAGGGGAATTCAAGCCACGAGCATTTAAGAGAGTACGTTAATTCTGTCCATCTAAAGTATAGTCTTTGATGTCATAACCTTTGTACAGAAGAAGAAACCTGGAACATACCCCTCCCCCCCTAAATAAAAAAAAACAAGATGCCCCATCAAACCCCCCCAGATTTTTGTACCAGCGGTCATAGAACGAGCTTAGTCCCCCCTCCGCCCCCCTCAATTATAAATGTAACATGATTTAAATATAGTCCCTTTATTTACTTGATCGAGGGAAATAAAACAAAAACAAAAAACGAACCAAACCAGGCAGCAGAGATTTTTTATTAAGGGTGTTCTAGTGAAAAAATAATACAAATAAAAATACCGCTGTCTCTGCGCCTGTCCAAATCCTCGCGTTATTTTATCTTCATTAGCAAGAAAGAGAGAGAGAGGGAAAAAAAAAAAAAGCAAAAACAAAACAAAGGTAGCCCAAACTAGATGCTACGGCGTGAGTTTATAGATCTTCAGTTCACGTATAATCTCACTTACCCTTTCGGCTGCGTGTCCAGTGAAGATTCATTCAGTCTTTACCAAGGGAGTCCAGGAACTTTTCGGCTTTTGCGGGTTCACTGAAGAAATGACTTTCGTGCCCTCGCTGAAGTTTGATAGCGGTCTGGTACAGGAGAAATGCGTCAAATCCTTTGACACGAGCCTCATGCATCGTTTTATAGCAGGCTCTCCGACGCTTAGATGTATGCTCGCTATAATCCGCTGCAAAACTTCAGAAAGCGATTACCCGCAAGCGGGCGCAGAGTCTTCCGGAAGTGGCCGAGTCGATGCCCTCATGAGCTCGGTATCGTGTTCTCCACTGCTTTTCCACTCGTGCCACATGGGAGCGAGCCTGTATCTTGGCGCAATGTCTTGATTTCTTCAGTATGGCGAGAGAGCACGGCCTTCATACTGTCCAAGTGCTTTTCAAGTTTTTTATGCCGAGCCTCAGATTTTTCCTCAGCCTCTTTGAAATATTTTGCCATAGTTTCTTCTATTGATTTGACCAGGGCCGTGTTTTCCAGGCCAAGATCTTTGTTCAGCTCCGTCGCCATAGCTCGTATTGTCGCCATTTATTTCCTTGTTGCGCGAGTAAACATAGGCACATAAACTCAGGCCCTCGATCTTTCTTGTTCACCCGTAAAAAGCAAACTTTGGTGAGATTAGAGGAGGGAGGACGAGCGTGGCTGTCTATGCTGTCGCCATGGGTTAGGGTCAGTGTGTTCAAATGGGAAGTGTTCAAATCGCGAGGAGAAGCCGCGGCCAGCCTTTGGGACGCCCACATGGGCAGGGCCGTATTCCGCGCCACCATGTCCCTGAAAACCTTTTACATGTATTCGCGTCATCTCCGCTTCGACGACCGCGCCACGAGAGGCACACGGCGCTCCACGGATAAGCTCGCCGCCATACGCCGGGTCTGGGACCTGTGGGCGGCTCAGCTTCCGCACTTGTATAATCCGGGACGAAACGTGACCGTGGATGAGCAACTGGTTCGGTTCAGAGGTAAGTAGGTATACTGTAAGTATACTACTGTAGGTATACTGTAAGTATACTACTGTAGGTATACTGTAAGTATACTACTGTAGGTAATACTACTGTAGGTATACTACTGTAGGTACTTATTAACATTATTCATTCAGTAACAGTACAATAGTAGTGTTTAGAAAAGTGTTTTGTGTCTAGTGTTGTGAACTAGTAGTAGCAGTAGTAGTAGTAGTAGTAATACTACTCAGCAACAAGGAAAAATGCAAATTGTATTCATTTTTTGTTGTTATTATTTGCGTTACTTAGGAAGATGTACTTTTCGCCAATACATGCCAAACAAACCGGCAAAGTACAGCTTCAAAACTTGGGTTGCGTGTGACACAAGATCTAGCTACGCCTGGAAAATGCAAATCTACACTGGCAGCAAGAACAGGCCTGCTGATTGTGGAAGGACTACAAACACCGAGACCACCGCCAAGAGCAGCAGCGGCAACAACAACAACAACAGTAGAAATACTAATTTAGCCATGCAGGTGGTCTTGGATTTGACTGAGGGACTCGGTGGGGAACGCACTGTAACTTGTGACAATTTTTTCACCTCCTACGAGTTAGCACGAAGGCTCTTTCTCGAGCGGGACCTGACTTTGGTCGGCACTGTTCGCAAAAATAAGCCCTGGCTGCCGCAGGTGTTCCTCCTAGCCCAGTTGCAGCGGCAGCGGTCACGGTTGCGGCAGCAGCGGCAGAAGAAGAAGAAGAAACTGTAGTAATAGTAATAATAGCGGCAGCAGCAGCCCGCCGCCGCCGCCGTCCGCTTATCTCTTTGCTCCTCTGCCTGCAGTCCTGGTCTCATATATGCCAAAGAAGAACCATCATGTACTATTGCTGAGTACAAAGTGGCAACATCTGTGCAAGCCTGTGGAACGTGGAGCAGCAGCAGCAGCAGAAGAAGAAGAAGATGCACCGATAGCAGGAGCAGGGGGGAGGAAGTCTGACTTGGTGATCGAGTACAATCGCAACAAGGGCGGATCTGACAATCTGGACAAGGTTATTAGCGCCTACAGCTGCAGGCGGATGACGTCTTTCACAACATCCTGGACGTCTCGTCCTACAACGCCTTTGTACTGTGGCGGGAGCTCAACCCCACGTGGATGTCAGCGAGACGCAACAAGAGAAGGATATTTCTGGAGCAACTCGGCAAAGAACTTGTGACGCCGCTCATCCAGAGGCGATGGTGTATGTCTCGCACGGAAACGTCCCTGGCTGTGGTTCAAGGCATTCAACAGCGACAGCGACAGCGGCAGCGGCAGGAGGAAGAAGAAGAAGAAGAAGCTGCCAGGGACAGGGACAGAGCCTCTGTGGCGGTGACGCCGACGCAGACGCCAAAGCAAAAGCCAACGCCACGGACAAGGACTGAAGGGGACCCTTTGGGGGAGCAGGAGGAGGAGGAGGAGCAAGAGGACAACAGACCAAAAACAAGCAATAAAAGAAAGAGGTGTCAAATATGCCCCAACAAAAAGGACCAGAAAACACAGACTGTTTGCTCGGAATGTAACAAATACATGTGCGGACAATGTAGTGTACAGTTTTGTCAGCCTTGCTCAAACACACTCAGAGGAGAAGACTGACGACGAGATGGTACAGATGATGTCTGACATAGTGAGAGGTGCACAGACGACACTTAATCATACTTTACTTATTTATTTACTTACTTCAAAAAACAGTAACCTTGTATACATAACAAATTTATAAAATATATTACAAACAAAACTAATACACTCGCCTCTTGTATTTTCTGTCTTTCTACATCTTTGTTGCAGATTCTGCCCTCTGCAAATATGTTTAACCGATTTATACTAATCTTACTTCTGCTGCTGTGTTCAGGTGAGTAAAGTTTTTTTTTTTT